TTATACATATATTTATATTTTTAATTAAAAATATTTGTAGCCATGTAATCATTAGAACTTGGTGAAGGGTTGGGTGTAGGGAGTTAGGCAGAAGAATGTAATAACTGAATAAATAGTTTCTGACTTGAATGAGATGTCATTCCTTGAAACAGTTGAAACAAAAGAGGCCACACACAAATGTGGGCCTGCGAGATAGATCAGCAGGTGAAGGCTCTGACACATGCCTGAATGCCTGAGCTCAGTCCCTGGGATCTATATAAACAGGGATGGAAAGAACTGACTACACAAAGTTGTCTTCTGACCTCCACACTCATGCCATGGTTACATGTGCCCCACACACAATAATAATAAAACTTTTAACAAAGAAAACTAATGCAACACAAAAATAAAATAATTGCAAACAGAATGCAAGGACAGATAGCAAATAAAGGCCTGGCCTGGTTGAATCCTGAGTGACAGGCAACACTATCAGAAGCAGGCTTCTTTCCGGTTTCAAGCCCACACTCCTTTTTAGGGTCCACCCACTGAGTTCCTGTTTCCTATCTAAAGAACATGCCCCTCCTGTCTTTGCAGAGTAGAGACAACAGATCAGTTCTGTGAGTGCCCAAGGACCCGCTTACTATTTACTCCACCCAGTTCCTCAGAATCTCTGAGATGCTGCAGTACTGGGGAGAATTTCTCCCGAGTATCTTCAATACTTTTTTTTTCTTTTTGGAGTATTGGAGATTGAACCCAGGACCTCACACATACTAGGCAAGCATTCTACCACTGATCTACATCCCCAGCCTTCTGTTTACTTTTTGTTCTGAAACAAGTCTCACAGTTTCCTGGGCAGTTGAACTTACTCTGAAGCACAGGCAGGCCTTGAACTTAAGATTCTCGTCTCTCCACCTCACTGAAGAGATAAAATTACCCGCCTGAGACAGCAGGTCCAGCTTTCAATGCAATGCTTTTATTTTAAAGATAGAATCTTATGTAGGTCAGACTGGCCTCAAACTTTCTATGGCACCAAGAATAACCCTTTGACTCCAGATCTTCTGCCTCCACCTTCCAAGTGTTGGGATTATAAGCTGCCACCGCCATACCTGATTCAATGCGTTTGTAGAGTACATGGTATTTTAAACACACATTGGCATTTTAACACGCTGTTTAATGGAGTATAGTTTTTCTAAAAATTTATACCCTTAAACACTTTTGCTAGGAATGCAGCCCAAGATAAGGAGGCAAATATATGTGTATAGAATGTTCATCTCAGTGTTATTTACAGTGGTTAAAAATTAGAAACAACTTAGATGTCCGTAATGGATGAATGGGTAAATCTAAATAGGAGAAAAGTTAGGATAGGAAAGAGTACTCGCTTCCATCGTGGCTTACAAACATAAAAATCAGAATCTCTGGCCTGCAAGTGGCTCAGCGGGTAAAGCTCCTGCCAGGTAAGCTTGACTACCTGAATTCCATCCTCAGATCCTATGTAAAGGTGGAAGGAGATTACTAACTCCACCAACCAATGCCACAAAGTTGTCCTCTCATCACACACACATCATACACAATAAATAAAACTTTAAAACTCAGAGTCTCCCTGTCCCTGAACTTGGGATTTGAGAATTTGTATTTATTTATGTATTTGACAAAATTTTGCTGGTCACTGTGTGCCAGGCACTATTCTAGGGATAAAGAGACCTCATCTTTATCACTTCCCTCCTGTGGGGCCTCACTAGTATGCGGGTGTAGCAATCACTAATTGCTACTCCTCTTTGTTTTATTTTATTTATTTCTTTGTTCATTTTTGGAGCACTTACCTTAGTAAGTAGGCACTTAATCAAGTGCTTTGTAGCCCTCAGTACCCTATCAGGTAAGGGATTATTGTCCCTATTTTAGCCACTGAAGAAAGCCAAGGCCTGAAAAGACCAAGTAACTTACCACAGGTCACAGAGCTACCTAAGTGACCAAGTCAGAATTTGAACCTAGTTCTGTTGACTACAAAGCCTATCCCTTCAACTTCTTTGTGAAATTCCCTACTCTGGACCAATAGACTATAAGATGACAGGGACTGATCTTCCCTTCACTCACATCTTAGTATCTGCATTTCACTGAGCTAGAATTCACTTAGTGTCTCAGCATTCCCAACTGCGCCTTGCCCATCTTTTACATTTATTATTTATTTGTTTGTTTATTTATTTATTTATGTATTTATTGTGGTGAGATGGGATGTGCATGCCATAGCATGCGTGTGGAAGTCAAAGGACAACTAGCTGGAGTTACTTCTCTCCTTCCAGTATGTGAGTCACAAGGATTGACTTGTGACTCACATGTCAGAAGCCTTAACCTGCTGAGCCATCTTACCTCCTTGCCCATCTTGTATTACTGTCTTCTCAGCCCTATTTGTTCCACCATCACATTAAGACCACTCTCCTAAGTCAGGAAAAGAGAGAAGTCAAACAGTGTCTAGATAGCTCTTCATCCATGTTTTTTTGCATGACATCTCTGAGAGCCATAGGTCCTCAACAGCAGTGTGAAAGAGGGAAAGGCTTTTCACAAGCTCCCATTCATTCATTCAACAATAGATACTTTTGATACTATATGACAAGACATTGTTTAATTTAAACCTCCCTAACCATGTTTTTACAAGTTTGCCAAACTTTACCTCCATCTTTGGTTATGTATTCTTGGATCTTTTTCATTTGATCTTTGCAAATCCAGTGTCAAGTCAGCTCCCAGTGTAGCTCTTACCTTCTCTTTCTCACTGTGATGTTTTCCCACAACCAACTTCTCGTTCTAACTTCTGTCTTTCTGTTAATAGCAGCCCAGCATTGTCCAAGTCACCCAGGCTTGAAACCTCAGCTTCTTTCAGCCATTACATCTTTCACATCAGAGCCACTAGGTCCCATCACGTTTTGTTTAATATTTTATTAGCGTTGCTTTCCTTAAGAAATAACATTATTGCCAGGGATGGTGGTGCATGCCTTTAATCCCAGCACTTGGGAGGCAGAGGCAGTCTTTGTGAGTTCGAGGCCAGCC